TATACGGCGGCGGTCTAGTTTAAGGACTAATTCCTATCTTAATTTAGGGCGTATTTCGGAGATCTATATAGAATTAGTTTTAGCCGGAAGGTCGTCCTCGAGGGTCTTTAAATAGGCTTTAAATAAGCGAGCCGATTGATTAGTCTTTTGTTTAGCTCGAAGGTACTAGTCCTAAGCGTATTATTGCCTTAGTATAGGGTTTCTAAGGGTGTCTAGTATAATAGTCTTATAGGTTTTCTACTAAACAGCGGTCTAATCGTTAAGGGAGTCGAAATAGTTATCCTATATGCGCTTTAGGTCGCTATTGATATACTATATAGCGTAGACAACTAGTAAATAGTCGTCTAGAAGAGCCCTCGGTGCATTTCGTTAGTTGAGCTTATAATCGCGTATATAATTATTATATTGCTTGCGACTAGAGCCGTTAAATACGGTATAGTCCTTAAGCTTAGCATCCTTCTTTTAGATAGGGACGGGTAGTAAGGAAGGCCCTATTGTCGGCTTAGTATTAGTTGTTAGGGCTTCCTATAGGCGGCGAATCTCGAGGAGATTATCCTTTAGCTATTGTTCCTAACGTAAGGCAGTAAGCCTATTTTAAGTAGCTTCTTAAAGTCTCCCTACTAGTTAAGGGCTAAAGGCTAGCTAGCTATATCGTCGATTAACAATATTGCTAAGAATGTCGTTAATAGGCAATTCTAGATTATCACCTAGAATTATAGGTTCTTCTTTAGCAGGCCCTCTAGTAGGCTCTTTAGTAGGAGGCACTTTAGTAGGTGCTTTAGTAGGCACTTTAGTAGGCACTTCGGTAGGCACTGTACTACTAGTATTGTTATTGCTAGCGCTACTAGCGGCGCCGCGGTTATTGTTTCGTAATAAACCGGCTATTGTAATAAGGGGTAGCACTAATAATATATCGTTAGCCCCTAAGATACGGATGTAGCGGAATTAGTAGATATCGGTCTAGTATGCTTAACTTAGTGTAGTAGGCCGTATAGAAGGCCTTGCTTAATAATTAGTACGGTTATTTCGATAGAATAGTGCGTATAGGTCCCGTTCTTCGGGCGCAATATAGTTAGATTAGTCTTGTTCGTAGCTATACCGCTAAAAGCTTGAAATAAGAACTATCTAGCTACTGCCCTTAAAGGGTAGATCGAATACTGTATAATAAGGGTTATGTTAGCAGGTAGATAGGGTAGTAGTGAATTAGTATAGTATTCGATAAGGATCTAGGAGGAGAGGGAGGAAGGTAGGAGAGTTAGCCTAACGCTAAGCGCTAAGCCCTGCCTAAGGCATTAAGACCCTAGCTTCACTCGGCCTAGTTATATACTAATTACGTATAGCCTCTTTGGCCCTAACAATTAATAAGTAGGATATTATACGCTCTATTATAGTAGCTAATATATATAAAAGTATAAGGGTAAGCGCTATAAAAGTATCCTTTAGGTATATTTAGTTATCGAGTCTATTAACCCGGTTAGTTAGTTACTTAGTTAGTTAGTATATTATTTAAAGCCTATTTAAAGATCTTTAATCTACGCGCCTTATAAATACGTAGCCTAATGCCCCTATATCGGTATAAGAAAATAGGTATATAGCAACGTATAGAACACCCTCTACTAATCGCCGTAGTAGAAAGTAGAACTAAACCGTACCTTTCTTAGAACAGGGTAGAGCGTTTACTATTAACTAGGCTACGTACGGATAGCATATATGCCGAGCCGGCAACCGAGTATGTCTATACGAGCGACCGAGCTTTTCCGCGTATACGCTAAGCAGGCTTTGCGCTAGCGCGATAGCATCGCAGTATACGTAATAATATTATATAATTGTTATATAGGCTTGCTAAGGCATAATAGGAGACTTTACTTACTTAGGTTCTTACAATTATCTCCTTCCCCTAATATAGCTGTCCTAGCTATAGGGTAATATAGTAAATTATACTATTTCTTACACTCTACGCTGCACTTGCGCGTCTTATACGCACCTGTCGCTAGGCTATAGTTGCTAGGCACGTTATGATTTGCCTCGTAGTTGCTTATTTGTTTGTAGATTCAAAGCGCGGCTACTTCTAGCACTAACTAGAGGTTGCCTAAATTTCTAAGAACGCGGTAGCTACGCGAGAACGTAAGCTATCCGAAAGCGAGGCGAGTATTTAAAGCATTCGAAGCCCGCTTGAAAACTTCTTCTTTTTCTAAGCGCTCCGAATACTATACGCCTACGCCCCGCCTGCTCTGCCCTCGCGCCCCCCTAGTATTACTTAAGAATTTTTCTTTTTAAACATCTATCTAAAAAAAACATTACTAGTATATCTACCCCTTCGCGTACCTTAGGCAAGCGCGCCGTAGGCGTACCGCCCTCGATACCTACTACGCCTACCTAGCGCCTACTAAAAGTCCTAGAGGGCTATACTCGTTGCTTTAGGTATATAACGGCTAACGGTACGTTTTCTCGCCCCTTGCTACGCGTACGCGCTTCGCAACTAACTCGCTTTAGATAACCTATCTAAGCTCTACGTAGGCGGCAATATAGACCCTACTACTAAGCGTAACTGCGATCGCTACTATAGTAGCTACTATACCTACACTCCTATTATAGTACGCGCGCTCGTAGCGCTACTAGCGCGCATTCGCGCCGTACGCGCTATACGCGACCTTTACGATCTAGACGGCTACGACTCCGTCGAGGAGTCTAACGAGGCCTTAGAGGCACTCTAGGCTAACCTAGACGCCGTTATCGCACGTAGGTTTCTTATACGCTCCGCTTGCGCTTTGTATACTAACCTCGTTATTAGTTATCCTATCTACGCTCAACGCCTTCTATATTAATAAGAATAAGGTAACCCTAGGCGGTAAAGCCCTAGCCCGTAAGGGGGCCGCTAGCGGGTCCCTTACGGACGTTAACCTATTAGGTACCCTTAAGAACATCGGCACTAACTTAGCTAGATTAGTAGAGATCGGTCGTTAGATATAGTTTTTCCTATAGCCTCGTTTTACTTGCGCTTCGTATACTAACCGTACTAGAACCTCGCTTAGCGCGTCGGCGCTAACGCCGTCGCTACTATCGATACCGCTATAGGTATCGAGGCCGAGGAGGACGAGGAGGAGTCTAAGGATAAGTAGAGTAGACGGCTCGCCGTCGGCGCGCCTACGCGGCGCCTTCTTTATATATACTAGGCTAATAGGCCTTTTTTAGTAGCGAAACGAGTACATGTCTACTATTTTTCTTAAGTTTTATTTTCTTTTGTTTTAATTACTACCTACGCTTACGCTTCGCTTAAGCTTCGAACTCGTCTAACGCTATAGAATCTTTAATATAAATAGCTAGCTCCTAAGTGTTATATTCTTTAGGCTAACCTCGCTACTTAATAAGGTAGTACGCCTTCCGCTTTTTTATCTTCTTAGCTACGATTGTTTCTACCTACTACTCGTTACCTTTAGCGACAGGTATGCTTATCTTATACTCCTCGCTATCGCGCCTATACTAAGGCTCGAGGAGGGAAATATAGAAAACATTATAGATCTTCGTACTTAATAGTAGTACTAGGCGGTACGCCTACGCTCTAACTACGTTAATAATACGGAAAGGCCCTATATACTTCGGGCTAAGTTTCTTCTTTAGGATATCTAAGCTAATATTCTTTATCGACAGCAAGACTAGGTCGCCTATACTATATATCTTAGTAGTGTAGTATATATTGTATTGCTTGGCCTAGTATTCTACTACTTTCTACTAGCGTTCCGTAAGCGTTTTATACGCTTTCTATAGGCGCTCCGTAGCGTCGATAGCTACTAGTGCCCTTCCCTTAGTTAGCTCGTCCCGAGCTAGCAGCTTATTTGCGCTCGGTATCAAATTAGGGTTAAAGCCGTAGAGCATCTTAAAGGGGCTTATACGTAATATAGGATAAACGCTATTGTTATAGGCAAACTCCGCCTAAGGCAACAATTTAGCCTAATTATCCTAGTTCTCGGAGCAATAGTATCGCAGGTATTACTCGAGGGTCTAGTTCGCGCGTTCGGTTTGCCTATTAGTCTAAGGATAGAAGGCTATACTAAGCCTACGCTTTATATGCGCTTCGAAGTAGAAGTCGCTCTAAAACTAGCTAGTAAAAAGCGATCTACGATCGCTAATAATGCCTAATAGCACTCTAAAACGCCTAATTACCTCCCTTTAAAGGATATCCGCGAGTTCTACTACTATATACTTCTTCGTCGTTAGAATAAAGAGGCTTATCTTTATATAGCGGTCGACTATTACGAGGATCGTAGTATATACGTAGGTACCGAGCTTACTCGGCGGGAGATCGGTAATAAAGTCTATCGTTAATTCTTGCTAAGGTCGGGTCGGTATAGGCAGAGCAGCGAGCTCGCTATATAGGCGATAGCGTTTCGCCTTCGACCGTTAACAAATTCTATAGGTACGGATATAGGCCGTAATATCCTCGGCTATCTTCGGCTAGAAGTACTTTCGGCGTATTAGGTCTATAGTCTTAGCTATACTAAAGTATCTAGCTAAAGGGTCGTCGTAGTATATATATATTAGTTACGTACGTAAGGCGTAGTCCTTAGGGATATATAGCGCATCGCCGTAGTAAATAAGGTTACTACGACGAGAATAGCTAGGCGGGAGGTTAGAACTACTTAACGAGGCTAAGCTACCCGACGGCGAGCTTGTCTCGTATAAGCCTCCTCCTCTCGCTTACTCTAGCTATTACAAAGTGCGTACGAAACTAAGGATTATATTAGGTGTCTTGTAGTAGGGCCCGTTATTCCTAACGATAGTAGCCGCTACTCTTACGGGACTGCTAATAAAACTCTTACGTTCCGCTAGCGCTATACTAGCGTCTCGTATCCTAATATATATAATAGAGATACGTTTTATAATCGGCTCGATATCCTCGGGCAGATTTAACTATAGAGCTAGTTTCGACTATAATATAGGAAGAAGGTTGTTTACCGCCTACGACTCGCTCTCGTAGTTGCTATATCGTAAAGGCGCATCGGCTAGATTTCGTTTACTAGCCCGATGTTCAATAGTAAAGTTAAAAGGTATAAGGAAGGTTGCCTATCTTACTTGCCTTCCGACGAGCTACTTTATCTTTATAAAGCCTTTAAGATTAGCGTAGTCGACAACTACGCGGGTCGTATACTAAGCGCTATCGAGGTACGGGCGCTAATGCTTAAAGGACTCGATAACCGCTAGGAGCTTCTAGTTATAGGTCTTATAATTCGTCTCGGCTAGGACTATTTTTTATAACTAGAAGGCAATAGGGTACTAATTCCTATCTTCGCTCTATTATAATATAATTCCTACTAAGGCAAACGTAGAGGCATCGGTCTCGATACGTAGGGGCTTCGTAGGATTATAGTATCGCAATATCGAGGCCGAGCTAAAGGTAGCCTTTAGCTAGCGGAACGCTTACTCCTCGCTTTCGCCCTACGGGACCTAACCTAGCTTCCGGCTATTTACGGCGCCTTTTAATAGGGCGGTTAGCGGTATAACGATTCGGGAGTAATTTAGGATAAACCTCCGATAGAAGTTATAGAATCTAAGGAAGGATTAAACCTCCTTTAGCGTTAATAGGCGAGGCTATTCGGTAATAGCGTTTACCCTACGCTAATCTATCGACACGCCTTCGGTGCTAACGATAAACCCTAGGAATTCGACTTCTTTCTTCTAGAAGGAACATTTCTTCCTGTTTGCGTATAGCGCAAACTTTCTAAGCCGCGTAAGGATAGCGCGTACGTCTCGTATATAGTCCTCTCGCGTTTTGCTATAGATAAGAATATCGTTAAGGTAGACGATATAGCAAATATTAACTAGGCTAGCTAACGCCCTATTAATATATCCTTAAAACGTAGTAGGAGTATTAGTAAGCCTAAAAGGCATTACCTTATACTCGAAGTGCCCGTACCGCGTACGGAACGTAGTCTTCTACTCGTCGCCTCGCTTAATACGGATACGGTAATATATATCCTAAAGGTCTAAGGACGTATACTATTCGGCGTCCTTAAGCCTATTAAGCGTTTCGCTAATAAGAGGTAGGGGGTAACGATTTTTAATAGTAATCTCGTTTAGCCCCCTATAATCGACGTAGAGTCTTAGACTACTATCCTTCTTTAGTGCGAATAGGATCGGCGTACCCGCCTCGCTTATACTAAGCTAGATCTAATCGTTGTCTAAGGCTAAGCTTAGGTAATTACGAAGGTCGCTAAGCTCTCTTCCTAAAGAATAGTAGAGAGGTTTATATAGCGGCTTCGTTCTAGGGATTAGGTCGATCGTATACTCTACGTCTTCGGGGAGCTTACGTCTCGCTTCGGGCGTTATTATAAAGACGTCTTCGAAGTCTTTAAATTCTTCTAGTAAGGAGGAACCTTTAGCGATGTCGCGGAGCTAGCGAACGCTAATCGTATATACGTATAGAGCGTTACGTGTATCCTTCTAGAATTCCTACAGTTCCCGTACGCGTATCGTACGCGCTACGGTTTCGTTCCTATAGGTCTAGGCATCCGTCGAGCTATTAACGATTACCTTTTAATCGCGCCTCTAAGGCCTACTAAGAATAATATTAGGGAGGGGCATTTCGAAAGTATAGAACACTCCGGTAGTAATACGTTCTTAGCCTATAGAGTTAGCGATCCGTAAGCGTAGATAATACGCTCCGTAGTAGTATCCTCGGTCGCCCTAGAAACTGTCGGTACTAGGTAGCACGGTATTAACAATCCGCTAAGGCTAGTATCGTAGAACGAATTCTTAAGATACTATATTAATATTAGTAGTATTATCTAATAAGCATTCGACGGACACTTCCCCTTCTTATATAACGATTGCTCTACGTACGCGTCCCGTAGGTACTACTACTACTAAGCTACTTAGTTGAGATTCCGTACCTATCCCTAGCTCTTAGGAGGTGCCTTGTCTTTTCCCTTAGCCTTCGAGTCGTTCTTCTTCTCGTTAGCGTTAGCGGCTACCTTACGTACCGTAGGGTTGTCGTCTTTCTAGAGATAGCGGTTCGGGTACGCGTTCTTATAATAGCCTTTCTAGCGACAGCTATAACATTCGACCTTACTAATGTTATACCCGCCTTACGAGTTATCGCCCTTCGTATGCTTTCCGCCTATACTACGGTCGCGATTTGACTACTACTTACGGGCCTAACTATTAGATCGACGCTTCTTGCCTTTACTACCTCCGGTTTTATCGTAGTTACGATCCTTACGTTTACTAGACGGCTTATTAGGGGTCTCGATGCGCGTCGCAAGCTCTATAAGTTCGTAACGCGTCGTTAGCACCGTATAGTATTTAATAATCGCGCTACGAATCGCCGGCTAGAGTTTAAAGAGGAGATAGCGGATCCTATACTCCTCGCTATAGTCCCTAAGTTAATCTTCGAGTACTACGAGCTTAAGGGTAAAGCTTTAGACTAACTGTCCCTTACGCTAACGGGCTGCCTTATACTCGAGGGTTACGTCTAGTATGCGGTTTATAGGGTCCCTAACGTAGTCCCGATAGAAGGTTTTAAAGTCCTAGTAGGTGTAATTCTATAGGTCCTTAAGGCTGTTTTTATTATACTATTACTCCTACGTATCGCCTACGAGGTATATAACACTATAAAGTACCTTGCTTTCGTCCGTATAATAGGTAGCTCCGGATAGTGCAAAGGTAATAGAAAGTTCTCTAAGGAATCGCCTCGACTCCTTAATTGTATCGCCTTTAAAGGGCTTAGGTTCTTTTAGGCGAGGCTTAATAGCCGCAAGACTAGCGACTACGTAGCTTATACTAGGCATAGTAGCTATGCTTAGCGTACTTCCGGAAAGAGGTAGTCGATACGAGATAGATTTAGCTCTCTAAGATTTAGGCCTCTAAATCGACTTATTAGCTAATTCTTCCTCGTCCTCGTCCTCGTCTAGGGATAGGGTCCTCGTAGGACCCTCGCCGGCAGTGCCGCTACTCGGAGCTAGCGTATCGCCTACGTCCTTAAGGGCACGAAGACGCGTATTCTCTCGCTTAGCTTCTTAAGCCTAGACTTCTAGCCTAAGCACTTCTTACTTAGCTAGAAATCGTTCGAGCCGTAGGCGGGTCGCTTCTTAGCGCGCCTAGTATTCGGCTTCGTCTTATTGTATCGCCGCGTCGTTTTCTAATGCTATCGGCGCTCCTAGGGCATTATTCTACGCGTTTCCCGCGCCCGGCGCGTTCGGATCGCTTGCGTTTATCTTTCGGGGTTCTATAGGCCGCTACGAAGGGTAGACGGTTTAGAACTATAAGAAAATAGGTATATAGCAACGTATAGAACACCCTCTACTAATCGCCGTAGTAGAAAGTAGAACTAAACCGTACCTTTCTTAGAACAGGGCAGAGTGTTTACTATTAACTAGGCTACGCACGGATAGTATATATACCGAGCCGGTAACCGAGTATGTCCGTACGAGCGACCGAGCTTTTCCGCGTATACGCTAAGCAGGCTTTGCGCTAGCGCGACAGCATCGCAGTGTACGTAATAATATTACATAATTGTTATATAGGCTTGCTAAGGCATAATAGGAGACTTCACTTGCTTAGGTTCTTACAATCGGCTATAATCTAACCCCCTCTATACTAATCCTTTACTTTACTATTATTATAATTTTCTAGACACTCCTATTAATATCTAATTAGTACGCCTTTTAATATCCCTTACGTTAATAGATACCTCTTAACGAATCTTAATAAATAAGCTAACGATTTCTTATATAGCTAAGAGGTTGCTCGCTTAGTTAGGTAGTATAGTATAAGTATTAGCTTACTAGCGGTAGGCTTAAGCTACCTAACTACTAGCGTACTGTAAATAAAGGTCTATATTACTACTACCTATAGCGATAGGAACGCTGCTTTTCTTTCTCCTTTTATTAAGCTACTTTAAATACGGACCCTAACGGTAGTAGTAGTATTATAGAGCGTTCCTATAGAAAATACGCCCTATAGTAATAGACTTTAAAGAGTTAGTATTAAAATCCTTACTATTGTTAGTTAATAGTCGTTAATAGTAGTTCTATTAGTATACTTACTAGCTAGCGAGGCGCTCGGTTAAGTAGCCGTATAAGTACGGCGCGTAGTATTAACTTACGCTAATAGGTATACGAGCGGTATTTAACTATCGTTACGATAGATACGTAGTTGCCTTTAGGTACCTACTATGTTCGTTATCGTATAGTACGTACTAGAAGGCGTAAGTAGCGCTATTAGGGGATCGACTTAATAGACTAGTCTACCTATTTAAAAATAGTAGGCGTCTAGAGCGGTACGAGGTAATAAAGCTATATACGTTAATTCGTATTATAGTAAGTCGTTCGTTACTCTAAGTTCTTGTCTTTCTAACGTAGTACGTAAGCCCTTCCGTAACCTATAATAGAAGGTAGTCCCTCTAGCGGCTTCGTCGGACTTAATTACTTAGTTATAACTATTCGCCCCTTTTTATAGTATACTTTAGCTAAAATAGCAGTATCTTAACGGTCTAGGCGGATATCTATTATTTAGCCGCTTTTATAGTATTAAATAAGAGTAGTAGTACGCTCTTTAGATATAGATACTATATACTATATACTACTTAACTTTAACCTAGTAATGCTATATGATTACTTATATAGTAGCCTCCGTATAGCGCTATTTTATCCGAGCCTAGCGGGCCTATTTCGCTACTTTCTTCGCGTCTTTAGCTTCTTTCTTAGAATTTAATACTACTTCTTGCTTTTAGATTAGGTCGCTATACTTAGATTCTACAAGCTTCGGATTAATTGCCCTAAATTACTGTAAGACTTTCGCCTTTAGTAGTAATAGGACTGCCTACTATACTATCGCTAGGTCGCTAAGAAGGAGGTTAATATTAGTAATACGTTTCCCGAGGGCTACTTATATATTGTCTCTATCTTTAGTTAGTCTTAGGTATTCGAGTAGAATATAGGCGGGCGTCTATCGTTAAGAGTCGTATCCTTTCTCGTTATTATATAGGCTATAGAAGGGCTACCGACTACTCTAATACTATATAGGTATTATTTAAGCGCTATCTTTCTAGTACGTATTTAGGTAATAATACTTAGACCCTATAGTAGTTCGGGTTAGTTTAATTTAGCTTACTAAGAAACTAGTATATAGACCGGTTTACCGGCTACGTACTAGCTACGGGTACAAACCCGATCTAAAACATTCCGAAATATAAATACAATCGTAGAGTATATATAATATACTATCCCTATAGTGTTCCGGACTCGATCCGAGGTCGTTATATATCGTTATATATAGTCGGAGTTTAGTCGGATTTTCTTAGAAACTAGTTTAGACTAGCGGGGTAGCAAACTAAACCGGAACTAAACCGGAGGGATACTATAAGAAAACTAAACTATATACGTTTTATAGTTCGCAAACCGAGCTACTTCGGGGTCTAATAATACTTGCTATTAGCTAGCTAGCCTACTTATATCTTTAAAGGACGCTTAGGGTTATAAACCTACTAGAAAAAAAGATAAATAAGAAGTAAAATATCTAGAAAAGCGATTTTCTTTTCTTTATATCTTTTTATCTAGAAGGTTTACGGCTTAGTAATATAGGATAAAAAGGTTCTTTTTTTAGTATAGTATTAGGCAAAAGTTTTATAAGTTACCTATTTATCGTTCTAGGGTAGCTTAGGATCGCTTAGGATTACTCGGAATTGCTCGCGATCGATAGGATCGATAGAATCGTCGCGATCGGTAAAAAAGTTTTCGTAACGCCCTAAGTAGGTTTATTAAGTATATCGATAACGTTAGTTACATTTACGGCTTTTATCTTAATATCGTTTTAGTATATCGCGAATATTAGTTAGGAGTCTAAGGTAATACTTAGTATTTTTACCGCCTTTAATAGTTCGGATTACTATACCTCAAAATTCGATAGTAAATGCGTAGGTATATACCGTTTAGTATCTCGAGCCTAGGGCGTAAAAGTAGATAAGCTAGACTTTAGCCGTCTATTAACCTAGCGGAGAAATAAGAAATTCGAGATAAATATAGTCTCGACAAACTTTAAATAATAAGCTATTCTAGCATTTTATAGTAGGTATATAGTTTAGAATAGCGTCAATTTTATATACTTAGTATATTATAGTACTATATTAATAAATTATATCGAATAGTATAGAAGAATAGAAAGGAATAGCGCTATAAGTTCTAGAAATACGATATAGAGTTTAATATCTATAAGTAAGGTATATCTACTACTAGAGTTATTTAACTTTTAAATCGCCGTAGTATAAAGACGTCTCTCTCTACTAAGTATATAGTATCTATAGTATCTAGCGAATACTAATAAGACGTATTATAACGCTCCTTAGCCGCTAAGGCTACTCTTTTAGATCTACTCGGTAGTACCTATTTAAATTTTCCTATAGCGAAGGGACTAAGAACTACTATCTTAAAATAAGTATTTATAATCCTAGCTTAGGACTAATAAATACTTTAAAGACTAGTATACGATTTTCTCCTATAGAATCTAATAAGTATTATAGTATAAGCTACTCCGTAACGATTAATTATAGAAAGATAATAAGATTAGGGTAATACAGATCTTAAGTTTTGCTAGCCGATTTTAGACTATATAAGAGCCTAGTAGACGAGTATATCTAAAAGTCTAGGAGAGTATTTTCTTCGAATATATACTTAATAGTTAGGAAGCGACGTTACTCGGTTTAGGATACTATCGGTTAATAGAAGAGGAGAAGGATATATAGTATAGTCTAGATAGTCGCTTAACTAGCCTAGATATCTATAATTAAAGACCTCGTTTTAGAATATAATTATAATTATCTCCTTTCTAATTCGTCTATCGCTACTATTATCTATCTTAGCCTTAGGGAAAAGGTATACTCTAAAGAGTATAAATATCGACTATATAGTATTAATACTCTACTATTAAGAATCTAGGCGCTATAGAGATATTAGTATCGGGGCCGTCGTATCTATACTCTAGATATCGAGTATAGTCCGTAACTAGTACAAGATCTAGAGGTTTATACCTACTAGTAGTTTATATAAGAAGACTAGTAGTTAACGACATTTAATAAGATTAAGTATATTTATCTAGCTCTACGCGAACGACGTAAAGGCAAAGTTATAAAAGCCGATATTCTACTAAGCTTCTTAATTCAATCGAGATCTGTAATAGTAAGAACAGGTATATTAGAGGCTGCATAGTTGGATATATATCGCAGGTTCTGTCCTAATAAAAAAGATCCTTACCGAGAAGGTAGACGGACCGCGACTTTGACATGTAGCCTCGAGGTCTTCGCCGACAATCTCATCGCGGACATGCGTACTACTAGCATCTAGGACACTCCTGCGGGTGCCCCAATCTCATCGGCTTCGGCGCTATCTTTAGCTCGACCAAAAGTGTCCTTGAACTCGTGCGCTCGACGCAGTCGTCCTGCATCGCCAGCGATGAGCACTCGTTATGCCCTACGCAATCGCACTCGCAAAGTCTTCAAGATACCAGCTCTACTTGCTCGTGTTTGTTTTCGTCCTCGTGCTTCAGCATGCTATAAGACCAACAGGAGAGCTTGACGAGTTAGGCAAGGGTATCTCAAGACATTGAGTGGTAGGAACCAGGCATGGATGGCTGCCAAAAGTTCATTCTTTGACTGATATAATACACCAAACCCATCAAAATGCGTCTACGACAATGGTAGCTAAGAATGCGTTACCAAAAATACAATGTTGTCGTATCTTACATGCAAAGGGGTATCATGTATCGCTCAAAAGTCATGCCCTTCAACCTAGTTGCCATGGTGTTGCACTGTCGCCATCCGCAAACCGGCGCCACTTATGAATGTCATCATTCGACTAACGCTCTAGCGCCTCCAGACTCAGCTTCTTCAGCTCCGACAGACTCGCCTCAAGCAGCTTTTTGAATCGATTGTGCGTCTCCTCCGCCTCCGTATACGAAGCTTCAGCGCGATCGGAATGAGAGACCTGAAGGAGACCAAGCTGTTTGTGCACATCCTTCCACACTCTGGCCGGCTTCGAGGCTGTATCTCGGCTGGCAAGCTCTTCTCGGAGGAAGGCTTCAGCAGCAGCACGACGGTGAGCCGGGGCATCCTCAGCAGTGCGTCGAAGGCCAGCGATGTATGCGTCGTCGGGATGGTCTGCAGGTGGCTTGGAGCTGATGGCGGAGCTTATGGCGGAGCGCAGGACCCGAAACTGTTCAACAGACCGAGAAGATGTCATCCCTCTATCGAGATGAAGGCGAATTTCCTCCATAACACCCTGAGAAGCCACCTGGGCCATCTCAATAGCATTCGCCTTTTCACGAAGCTCCTCCAGCGTGGTGTTCGGTCTGCTTTGGACTTGCATAGGCGGCGATGTCGGCATACGACCAATCAAACCCATATCTTCGGACATCTGGGCGGCAGTATGCATGGCGAACAGCCACAGATGACCGTCGATGGTTTCGCTGATGGTTCGACCCAGTGTAAGAAGGACAGCACACGCAGCGGCGGACCCAGCAATCTCGATTAGACGGTTCCGAGTTCCCTTCGCAGTGTCGCCATATGTCCGAAATGAGGGAAGACGTACTGTAGTGCAGGACAGGAAGCGGCGAGCAGGCTGAACCTCATTCTGTGTGCCTGTTGTGGCAGGGCGCGGGCGCACGCTTTCAAGAAGGGCACAGATGCGCGGCATCAAAGCGGAAGCCACATTACTGTCTCGGGCCTGAGCGTTGTTTTCCTCTTGAGCTTGAAAAGCATCTTTCTCCAGATCGACCTTGGTAATCATCTCTTCCGGGCAGTGAAGCGTAAGCGAGTCGGTCTGCGGGTGGTACTCAGCAAGAATCCAGCGGCGGTTCTCATCGGCGAGGGCAAGGCAGAGAGGACGACCGAGCGTCGAGGCATCGGATAGAACAGCAGTATCGGCGCCATCGGCACTAGGTCGGCAGGATGCGAGAAGTTGCCCATCAGCTGAGCTCGGCTGGAAAAAGTCGAAAGCGCCTTGCATAAGGTGAGCGAAGTTGTTCGTCTCGGTGGAGAGTTCGGCGAAGGCAGATTCAAAGGGCGAGGTGTCCGTGATCTCGTCGCTGAAGCGCACACGCTTGGTAGGCCTATTGACATCTTGGCCCCTCATCGTGACGTTGTTGCGTTTGCTCATGTGGAAAGGCAAGCTCGATGCGTGACCTGGGCGCGGGCGACAACACGGGCTGTCACTGTTGTCGTCAATGGTGGACAGCAGCGGCAGGGTATGGGGCTTCACGATGCTGGGCTCTGCAGTTTTGTTGATGGAGTTGGTGGAATTGGTGGGGTTCGGGAAAGAAGAAGTCGGGATAGCTGCGCCATAGGTAGACGTGGCTGACTTCTGAAGCGAGGACGGCTCGTTCCGCATATTCGCCTCCACGCTCTGAGCCTGGGGGTCGCTCTGACTCTGCTCGTGGTCGGAGTCCTGCTGGCCACAGTCGAAGCCTCCAAAAGAGTCGTCGTCCTGAAGAAAAGAGGTGTCTTGTTCGGCCATTCCGTCTAGCTGCTGCTGATCATCTTCATCAATCTCAAGGCTGTCGTCGGCTTTGTGAGCGCCGGAAAGTGGTCTACGGAATCTGCCTTGTTCGATTGATTGCTCAGTAGTCTCTCCATCGGTAGTCTCTTCGTCTGGCTCATCATTCTGCTCTTCATGTCGTGTCTGATCAAGCGTATTTGGTCCCATTCGCTGCACACCTCCCGGCACCTGCAGCGCTTCATCCCTGCCCATATGTACAGCGCTACGATCGCTCTGCTCCTTATGCGAAGGATGTAGCTCTGGCTCAGACACATCTTGTAGGCCATTCCAATTGCTCGCGTGTATGGCAGTGGAGGCCTTTGATAATGCTTGCTTGCTCGCCTTTTTCCCAGAGCGTCCTCCGTGTGTCTCCGTCCACTGCTTCGGTCTGCTACGAGGCTTCGTCGGCTGCATTCCGTCCGCCTGACATGATTCGAGTGCGCCACGGGCGTGTCGTGGCTGGATGCCTTGTTGGCCGGTCTCTGTGGGGTCTGCTCTGCGTGCTGCTTGAATGCGCCCGACGGCATCGGCGAAGGACAGATTGGGGATGGCGGAAAGGTCGCGAAGGGCCGAGAGGAACTGATGACTCTGGCAGGCAGCGTCGCCGAAAATTGCGTAGAGAATGAGGAAGTTGAACTCGCCGCTAAGCCTCCATGGATTGCGGGTTGGGTCGTTGAGGGCATTCAATTGCGTTACGACTCGGCGGTTTACCATACGACCTTCCACGGCAAGCCGAAGCTCGCGAAGGAGTGCAACATGTGGTTCATCTTGCAGTGCAAATGTGAGAGCAGAGGTCGTTGCCGCCGGGCACGTAGCGTATTGGCGCCAGAGTTGCTGGAAGAGTTCAAGCTTCTTGTCGATTTCGGCTTCGGCGGCGAGGGCTTCGACAGCAGTCGGTGGTACAACATTATCTTCTGGGGGGACATCAGAAGAAGTGTATCGTCGGCGAGCCATATTTGAGGCGTGTGTGAGGCCAGCGCACATCGTTGCTGCGCTGCTCGTGGGTGAGTTGGCAGCTAATACTGGCACAAGGTTCAGCCGCGGTCTCGGTCTCGGGAATGGGCCTTGTCGAGTACCGCCCCATCCATCTCAGGAACACGAACTTCCTGCTTCCATCACCACTCCATCGTGTACCAACGCCTACATGTCCATGTCGACGCCCCCTCCACAAAAGAAGTGCCCCGATTTCTCCTCCACACTCCCACCATCGCCGCCCGCCTCGCACGAAGCCTCACCATCGCACCCAGGCCTGCCGCGGGCTTCCGCGATCCCATCTCATCTTGTATCAGACGCGCACTCCATTACTGGAAGTCTGCGAGCTATCTTTTCGGGTCAATATACACCGCAGCACGCGCGCGTCACTTTTCACACTTCGGCCGCCGAATTCGAGCGACTGCACGACGAATTCCTTGCGCCGGGCGCAGATTGCGACGGCACCGACGACGACGACTTCAAGACCTGGTGTAGCAACAAATTGCGTTGGGACTGGGACCCGCACACCGAGGAATTCTCCTTGCGCATGCCGGATGTCCTTCACGAGTCGTTTATCAAGCAGCTGCGAACGCATGTGCTGAAGAGGCGGGATGAGCTGGCAGACAGGTGGCACGCCAGCGGCAATGCCAATGCCGCGGCGGTGTTGCGCATGATTAAGGATGAGGGCAACTCCACCATCACGTTTGATCACAGGCAGAGGATGAAGAACTGGGGGGCGCGGGACACCGAAGAGCTGAGCGCGCATAGGAGAGGAGCCTCCGGAGAACTTGAGAGCTTACAAGAATCTGCCCAAGTGGACATAACGACAACTTTTGGATCATCGACCTCCCGGGAAACGGAGGGAAAGGCAGCTCAGAGAATACCAGACATCGCGCTGATGCACGAGGAGCAGAGACACTATCCACCGTTGGTTATGGAGATCGGAAATTCACAGTCGATAGAATCACTTTCTCTCACTGGCGAAGCCTACATCCTAGACAGCGACAATTTCATCAAGACTGTGGTTGCTCTCAAACTCCCTTACCTACCGAAATCGACCCAGAAGGCGGCGAAATCGGGAAAGACTCCGGACCGTTCAGCAACTGTCACCCTCTGGCGCTCTGCGCTGAACGCGAGTGGAATGGGTGATGTTGAAATCTCCATAGACAAGGTCCCCTTCCGTAACGACAAAGGCCAGACGCAACAAGGCGAGTTCCAGCTCCTAGTTCGCGATGCCATGCCACCGTCAATCATCCAGAACGAGGATCCGACTTCTACTACCTTCCTCACACAGTCAGAGTTGAACGAGACGCTTGCAAAAATCACCTTTGCTGAGCTGAGTGCGATGCTAACAGCGGCTGATGAAGAAAAACGTAAGAGCTTACGTCCCGTAGAACAGAGGTTTGGACAGCAGGGGCAGGTCGGGACTCGAAAAAGGCGGAGGAAGAGCCCGAACGCAGAGTGGCTTTGTGCGGACATTGCTGCTACAGATTTGGGGCATGTGGAGCATTTAGGTATAGATCAGGTTGAGGATACTATCGCTAGTCGTATAGCGAAGAGGAGGAAAAGCCGAGATAGTCTTTAATGTAAGCAATTTGGGATCCCGGCACTGTAGTACTAGTCTTTAGATATGCACATTAAAGAATATATCTGTTTAGATAAAGACTATTAATAACTCCCTTGTCTTAACTACTAAACTTTAAGTAGTATAGGTTATATCCTATACTAAATATATAAAGAACTTCGTTATCGGGTACCGCCTAGTATAAGTAATATTTAGAGTAGATACTATCGCTATAATAATAATAATTATAATAAGGGCGATAACGATAGAAATAGTCCTACTAGTCGGGAAGCTTCTTCTTATAGAGGTAATATAGAAGGTAGTATAGAAGGCAATCTACTAGTCTAGTAGCCTAGTACTTAAGCTCGCTAAGAGATAGATAAAAAGGACTTAGATAAGAAAACTAATATTACTATCCCTAACGTCCGCTATCGTAGCTAACGTATAACTCTAAAGAAGAAGAACGCTAGTATTATCAATCTCTATAGTAGCCTTATATTACTATCTAAGAAGGTAATCTTTATATATATAGATAATAAAAGTACTAAGACTTACTAGAACTATATAATTTAAGGCCTCTTTTATTCTAAGACTCGTATAAGCGTAGAAGAAATACGCGAAGAGTTAACTAGCTTAATTAGTCGTCGATTCTTTAATAAGTATCAACTAGAAGATAGTATTTTAGTATAAAGCTTTATAAATATATACTAGGTATTTCGTAATCCTACCGCTATCTAGTATAGCTTTCTTAAGGCCTAGGATCTTCTAAATAAAAGGATTAGCGTAATATTATCTAGAAGCGTATCTTTATAATTACGTAAGTAGTAATATACTCGCTAGTATAGAGTTATAGAGGAGAACGCCGACTACTAGAGCCTTAAGGTTAAGCTATAGGCTTAGACCGGACGCTTCTAGATTAGAGATAATAAGTTTAACTATAAGGCGAAGCGTTAGTAGTAGGTAGATTAGATTTAGCTTTATTTATATAGGTATCTATTTACTAACTTTAAAAATATAACTAAGTCTATCTTACTAACTCGTATATCGCTCTATATAATAATATTCTAGAATACGGCGTTACTAATAATATACTAGACCGCTTAAAGCTATTTAAAGTTAAAAATGTTATTAATAAAATAGATAGGGATAATAACGGGCTATTCTAGATTAACTAGGCTATAGTATAGAAATAGAGCGCCTAGCTAGGCCGCCTAATAGTTATACTTTGCCCTAGCTCGGACTAAGTCTAGAGGAGACGCCTATCGGCTAGGGATTATATATAGTAAAGATAGTAATAGATAGCTAAGACTAGTCCTTAATAAGTAGTATAAGCGTAGATATTATATTTAAGGTACTATCTTAGCCGAATATCTCGGTATATATATAACTATATACTTAAATTACTCTCGTACTAGTCCTAGGAAATAGCGATAACTCTCCTCTTATACTTTACTATACTTATTACTATAGATTCGATATTAAAGTCGTCGATCGCGCTTTAACGCTCCGGTCTATTCGTACTTCTTATTCTATAGTAAAAATCCGTATATAAAATACTATAGCCTAAGGCTAGTTAGTTCTAACCTACGGATCTAATATTATACTAAGACCTACCTAAAATTAGCAGTATATAGTATAGGCGGGACGAGTAGGTCGTAGGTAGAGGTATATATATAGGGAACTGTACGCTATAGGCCTAGTATTCGATATCTCTTAAGTAGCTACGAGGGGTCGGCGTAGTATTACGTATATATATATATATATTAAAGGATTGTAAATAATAAAGAGAAGAGAATAATTATAGAAAGAACTATATTATAGCTAAATAAGATACATTCCTTATATCTATCCTTCTATATATTGTCGTAGCTATCTCCCTATATATCTTATATATATATATATTAAGGGAAAAGGAAAGATACAAAAGTGTACCCCTATACTAAGCTAGGTTTCCCTACTATATTTTCTCTCCCGGACTAAGAAGTCTATCCTTAGACTAACGCTTCCTTACCTCCCGGACTAAGAAACCTTAAACATATAAAGAAATTAAATTAACTATTCTACGAAGGTATCCTAGCTAGCTAGCTACTATAGGCCTACTACTTATTTCTTCCTACTACGAGCCGTTAGCCTACTATAGTTTCCTCTACGACCCTAACTACTATAATTACCGCTACGCCCTTGCTAGTTAAACTAGTTAATAAGAGCCTAGGTCCGCGTCGCCTTAGCTCGTATATCCTAGCGAGTTTGTCGCTTATTCGGATTAGGCTCTAGACCCCGTAGTAGTTCGGGTTAGTTTGGTTTAGTTTACTAAGCCGAAACTCTAGTTTAGTTTAGGTTAGTTTGCTAAGCAACTATATAAGTAGCTAGTTCGAACTATATAATTTATCGGTTTTTAAGAAGTGTACGAATGTATACGTAGCTTTAAGCAAGCCCTTTATAAGACTTAGCAGTATAGCCGGTAGCGTAGCCGGTAGCGTAGCCGGCATTTTTAGTCCTTAGTACTTATAGAATTTTCGAATCCTACTTAGGCTACGTAGTTGTATAAAGGTACTTATATAACCTTAAATCTATAGACAATTAGCTAAGGGCACTAACTAATTAAAAGCATATATATATATATATAAGGCATTATAGTTTAGTTCGGAAACTGCACTCCTTAGGTATAAATTTTATCCTTTCGTTTACGGTTCAATTCCCTAACTACTTAGTAGAATGTCTTTATCTAGATCTAGGTAGAACTTATCGATTTCCGTCGAAGCTCTCCTTAAGAAGTTCTAGCACTTTCCTACTAAACTATACTCTAATATTAAGTACTAAGATAGCTCCTCCCTCGATATCGGTACTATATACGAAATAGCTATAAGGTAGCTCTATAGGGCGTTCTACTAGTTACTCGCTATACTACGGCCGAATGCTAGTTCGTTCCTTAGAACTCTAGGTTATTTAGTAGATATTAAGGATAGGGTAGGTAGTAACTTCGTATTATATAAGGAAGTAGAGGCTACTATAGAGGAGTCCTTTAACCTATAGAAGATAGTAAAAGATATAGAGGTAGCTATAGGTCTAGGTACCTAGTTGAATTTCTAGTAGGTAGAGTATAAGGATATTTAGTAGGAGTATTAAGTAGAGTTGCGAAAGCAGGTATATAATATAGTCTAGAGAACAGGGATAATGCCTATAACTATAAGTATTAGGTTCTTCAATCTTCCTCCTTTTTTCCTTGTTTGCTTTTTATAAAAATCCAAACTAATACAAATTAACTAGAATGTCTATCTTCTTTTAGTTCTTTATAAGACCTAGTAGCGTAGCCGGCAGCGTAGCCGGTAGCGTAGTCGGCCTTTTTACTCCTAAGCACTAACGGGTTTTTCGAAGACTTCTATTCTATACGGCTAATAAAGTATACTATACTATATAGGTATGCTTAGAGAGTATTTAGAGCGCGGTATACAGCGCCGTATAATAGCGGCTTATTTCGTATATAGAAAAGCTTATAGACGACACTACGAACATCCTTCCTACTAGTATATCTATCCTATCTAGCACTATCTCGAATATAGATATTCTAGCCTTTTAGAATCTAATCGAGTGCTTTAAAATCCTTGTCTATAATCGTTATACGCTTCGCGTAGATAGCTATAAGGTTAACCGCTAAAATAGTATTAGTATAGTCCGAAAAGAGGTAGAAGAGAAACATATATTCGAAGATACGAACTAGGTAGGCTTCTATAGCCTCTTAAAGGGCGCCTATCGCGGAGGCTTAGAAGCGAAGGTCCGTTCTATAATCCTAGGTAATTTCGCGAATAAATCGTTAGAAAGGAGCTTTACGGATTAGGAGCTTAGAACTCTTCTAATACTACCGAATCTTACGGAGGGCTACGGCTAAAGAAGGATTAGTAAAAAGATAGTAAGAATGCCGGCTACGCTACCGGCTATAAATAGGACTTACTTCCTAGGCGCTATCGACGCTTCGTACGATTGCTACTAGTAGTAGAAGCGCTAGTTATCGTCTTGCGTAGAGCCTTGCCCGCCGTTATCTTACGCGGAGCCTTACTCGCGACGCCCTTTCTAGTACCGGAGCTAGCGGTAGTAGTAGTAGCCCTCTTACGTTAATATACTATACTCGTTCTATTATTTCCGGTCTTATTATAATCCGTAGAAGCAGTAGACTCGTTCTATAATTTCCGGTCTTATTATAATCCGTAGAAGCAGTAGGTCCCTTCTTGCGAGGCGTCGTAACTTAGTTAAGTAGACTCGCTATTATAAAAGTCGTCGAATTAAGGAAAAAAGTGCGTTACGAAGGTATACGAAGGCGCGCGCAGAGCGAGGGTATTACGGAGGTAGTAGATATAGAGCGTAGAGATATAGGTATCGATACGAAGGTTAAATATAGCGAGAGAGGTAGTATCGCGGTATCGCTAGGCAATAGAGTAAGCTTCGCGTAAGCCTATATTATAGTAACGTTAGAGTAAGGAAAGAAGGCAGGTACGGCTAAAAAAGGTAGGTACGGCTAAAAAAGGCAGGTACGGCAGACTTTGAAATATAGCCGGTATATATAGCCGGTATAGTAATAGGCGAAAGCCTCCTTTTAATAAATAGCCGGCGTAATAATAGTATCCTACTATAGTATAGATATTCTTTAGTAATGCCTTTACTAGCTATAGTAATCTTATAAGTAACCTAGGCCTATTACTAGTAAATATAAGAAATATTAGGTAGGCTATACTAAACAAGCTAGTTATTTAGTAAGAAAAGGCCTACTACCGTCTCTATATACTAGCTACGAGTGCCGGCTATCGCTCTAAATTTAACTCCGCCCTATCTCGGAGGCTAAGGTACCGAGCGGAAACCCTATAGCTTATATTTACTCGGTTGTCGCGGAGCGCTTATAGGTAAGGTATTAGAAAAGAGTATAAAAAGTACGAGAAGAGTACTCTAGGATATAGATCGTAAGTAAATAAGAGTAGCACGCCTAGTTATTTATATAGTACGTTACTCTATACGACTAAGAGCCTATATTATCTTATACTTCGCTTATAAGACCTCGACTCTACTAGTATACTATCGATCTCCTCCTCGGTCGCTAATACGCTATCTTAATTCTTCTTCGAGTTGCCGGACTTAGTACGTATCTATAGCTATGCAATAGCGCTACGTATTATAGAGAATTTCTCGTTAAAGTTTCTCTCTCGTAGGCTTACTATCTGCCTCGTAGTATAGAGGATTAAAGTGCTAATACTAAAGAATCTCCTTATAGTTAAGATACTAGGGCTCCTTAGGACCTTTGTGTTTTAGGTCTAAATAGAGACGTATTATAAACGTTCTATCGCCCTTTCGTAGGCTTACTATCTACCTCGTAGTATAGAGGATTAAAGTGCTAATGCTAAAGAATCTCCTTATAGTTAGGATGCTAGGGCTCCTTAGGACCTTTGTATTTTAGGTCTAAATAGAGACATATTATAAACGTTCTATCGCCCTTTCGCTTACTATCCGCTAGGTCGCGATATACGAAGAAACTAATCTAAATATAGCTCGTCTCTATAATAGCCGGGTAAATATAGAGCGCTAGGTTTCTACTTTATACCTTAGATTTAGGGACGGCGCGGAGATAAAATTAGAAATATAGCTAGTACCTATAGCCGGTAAAAGGATACGAAAATAGGCCTCCTCCTAGGTTAATCTAACGACTAAATACAATTTCTAACTAATCCGCTATAAACCGACGCCGAATTTTAGCTAGAAGCTATATATCTTTATTTTAAAGAGTAACCCGCTTCGTATAGATAGTAAGGAGGTTTAAAAGCTTAAGCTCGGTTACGAGAAATGCCTCCGTAGCTTCCTAAAGAGCACTAATCGCCTTAGCCGTAAATCGCATACTAGACCGAAAATCTAATATAATTTCTCGGATAAGTCGCTAGAAGGGAGTCTTAGGGATTAAAAGCTCGGTCCCTCTTTTGTTTTAGAAAAGCCGGATCTAGCGAAGGGTAATAGTACCTAGTTTAAAGCGCCGCTTCTTTATCGTCGAGTCCTACCTTATTCCCTTTTTTTTAATAGAAAGATAACTTTTCTTCGTAATAGTCTTCGTCCGCCTACTCTTTTTAGCCTTCTCCTATCTACCTAAAGCCTTCTTGTTTTTCGGTACTGTTTTCCGAGGAATCCCCTTCCTTCGTATATACTATAGAGAGTCTTACTCTTCCGATATCTCGTTCTCGCTACAGTCTCCCTATACTTAGCTTACTTTACCCTTGCCCTTTAGCCTCTAAAGATATTTATCTACGCGTTTAGGCGACGAGGGTATATCGGTAGGACCTAGAAAATTAATAAGTATATAATCGTAAGGAGATATTAATACTTCTTGCCTTCTAGAATAAATAGTCTTCTATTAAACCGCCTTAGTAGGTTATCGTTAGATTCGTATAAAGGATAGTAGCTTAAGGAAGGGGAAGTAGCCGGCTTAGGAAGGCCCGAAGAGCCGAATCCTTAAGGTATGTTTGTTTTTAAGAATATAGGGAAAGGGAAGAAGGAGAGGAAGAGCGAATAGAGAATTAGAAATAGTCCGTAGATAAGCGGGGTCGGTTGCTATAGCAACTAGTCTGTTTAGGTCCTAGGAATTCGAAACACATTTCGGATATATACCGGCTATATACGCCGGCTATATTACCTTATACGTAAACGCTTCGTCTCCTTAAAGCTACTCTAAGCCTATATACGTTTCCGCTTCTCGACCTAGTATCGCCTTCTACCTCCGCCCTCCTCCTCTTCGTTATCGCTAATTAGGGTTTCGCTTAGACTAAATTTCGTATTCTTTTCGCGCTCCTAGGTTTCTTCGATCTTAAGGTTTTCTAATTCCTCGATTAACTCCTTTAGTATAATCTTTAGTAACCTGCCTTAGCGACTCTAGTAGAGGAGATAGTATTAGAATACTATAATAGATTCGAAGATAGTAAGCGAGTATATTCGATTAAAGCGGCCCTAGTAACGAGCGATACTAAAAGACCTCTTATAGCCTATACCTACGCTCGGGATAGCGAGGACGTCCTAAGCGACCGACGCTATCGTTAGAAACTTAGGCTCTAACCGCTACTATATAGCGAGAATATCGTCTCCGAATTCGTCTAGAAGACCGGTAAGATCTAGAGATTATTAGCCCTCTTTCCGAGCCTACGGATTTATACTTACTCGCGCGCCGATAGAGATCGAACTCTTCTTTATTCCCTTTAGTAGTTGCTTCCTCTTCTACCTCTATTTCCTACCTACGAAATAGGTATAATATCGGAGCCCTCTAAACCTTCTTTTTCTTTATAGGAGCTATATTTAGACTAGTTTCTTTCCGACGCTCGTAGAATATCTTTTCTAGAATAGTCTAGTAATGCTTCGGCTATACCTCGTCCGCCTTCTATTCCGGCCTCTACTAGTATATATCCTTTTCTACCGGGTTAAGTAAGTACGTAACGCTATAGATATCCCTAAACGACTTAAAGGTAGCACTATAATATTTATATAACTTAGTATAGGAGCTGTCTATAGCTTTCGTTATAGCTACTTTCTAGAGAACGCTCTTCTTAGCTAGCTTAGCTACGGTTTCCTCGAGCTCGTTAAAGAGCTAGTTATAGTACGTAAAGACAAGGTAGATCGTCGGTCCTCGGGTTCTTCTAATCGTAGTAGTAACCTTCGCGTAATACTTACTAATATCGACGAGATACTCTACTTAGCGCTATTCGGCAGCGGTAAGGCCGAGCTACTTAATACCTTCGGAACTCTAATAGATCTCGAGAGCGGTACGTAAAGTATATCCCCTCGTAACTATATAGAAAGTCGAATCGAACCGGGTCTTAACGTCTTAGGTAAAACAGAGTAGGCGCTAAGGAGGCCGCTTTTACTATCGCTTATTCTATACGATATTCTAGGCATCGGTTTTAGGGCGCTCGATTAGGTTCTTTTAAATAGCCTCGAATCGGTTATATCTCTATAAGCTCGAGTTCGTATATATTACTAGACGACGAAGCTAGAGAAAAAGAGTTAGAACTATACTAGGTTGCCGGCTATAGGTACCGGCTACGGACAAAAGTTATACCTTATATAAAACGAGAGCGGGCTCTCTACCTTATCCTATCTTATTACTATAACGAGTTTCTCGACTTTCGACTTTACCTTATCCTTATCTAGGATCTTCTATTAGTCGTCGTTTAATAGTGCAATTTTAAGCGTCTTAAAGAGGGCTCGGATCGCGATTTAAACTATATTAGCGAGGTAGGGAAACTTCTATAAGGATATAACTAGCAACGACGTCGGCTCCGATTTAATAGGGCTAGGGCTATTACTAGGCTCCTCTTTATCGTTATCGTCGTACGTATTATCGTACGTATCCGGAATCGTAGCGAGCTTAATATTCGGAAGATTAAGCTAGATTATAGACCTTATAATCTCCTCTACGTACTCGACCCTATCGATATAATTAGTAATTTTAAAGACATATACGAGTAAATTGTATATATAACGCCTTATATAATGTTCGATTATTACTAGCGTTGTTTATAGTAATCGAGATTAGTTTCGTTATTACGCTAACCCTATCTATTGCCGTATAGATAAGCTTCGCTATATCCTTACTAGTATAGGAACCTAGAATTTTAGGGAATCCGATTATAAGTTCCTAGAGTTTCTAATCCGAATTAATAAAGTATAGTATAATCGAAAGGAAGGAGGCTCTTATAGTCCGGCTTAACTAGCTATCGATAGTAATAGCTACTCGGCGAGTATTACGGAGGATCTCCCGAATATCGTCTAACGCAGCCTCTTTATTCTTTTCGAATATAATACGCTAGGTTGTCGCGCCGAGAAATAGGGGAGGGTAGTTTATAAGATATAGGTATATCTTCTATATAGACTCCCTTTCGTAGAAGTCTTCCGGAAGACCGTTTATAGCTAGCATTTCGTTTACTAGTTGCTTAAAGTCTTCGGGAGAGAAATCGGTAGCCTTTAATCCTAGAGCTTCCTTAAGCGTAGCCTATAATAATTAGCTAGATCTCTACGGTTAATTAAAGTAGCCGGAATCTATAGCTAGTAGCTATAGCCGGTAGCTATAGCTAGTAGCTATAGCCGGTAGCTATAGCTAGTAGCTATAGCCGGCAGCTATAGCCGGTATTTTAGAAAACGTACCTCTTTCTAGAACGCTATATCTATATTAACTCTCCTCTCTCCTTAAGATTCCCGATACCGTTTAGAATAGAGATAGTTCGTAGGCGATAAGTTCCTATCCCCTAGTTTCGGGTGTTTTAAGATTAAACCGTAGAAGTTATAGACAATTACTAGTTAACCTTTAAGTCGAGAAGTCGTATAACGGTGCAATACTGTTAGGACTAAAGAGGTTATACGTAATTGGTATGTAACTAGGCTCGAGTGAAGCTAGGGTCTTAATGCCTTAGGCAGGGCTTAGCGCTTAGCGTTAGGCTAACTAGCCTGCCTTCCTCCCTCTCCTCTTAGATCTCTATCGAATACTACCTGTACCTACTACTACCCTATCTACCTGCTAATATACCCTTCTTATATAGTATTCGATCCACCCTTTAAGGGTAGTAGCTAGATAGTCCTTATTTCAAGCTTTTAGCGGTATAGCTACAAACAAGACTAATCTAACTATATTGCGCCTAAAGAATAGGACCTATACGTACTATTCTACTAAAACAACCGTACTAATTATCAAGCAAGGCCTTCTATACGGCCTATTACACTAAGTTAAGCATACCAAGCCGATATCTACTAATTCCGCTATATCCGTATCTTAGGGGCTAACAATACATCGTTAGTGTCGCCCCTTATAATAGCCGGTTTATTACGAAAGAACAACCGTGCTGCCGCTAGTAGCGCTAGCAATGACAACACTAGTAGCATAGCACCTACTAAAGTGCCTCCTACTAAAGAGCCTGCCGGAGAGCCTATTAAAGAAGAACCTATAATTCTAGGTAATAATCTAGAATTGCCTGTTAACGACATTCTTAACAATATTGTTAATCGACGATATAGCTAGCTAGCCTTTAGCCCCTAACTAGTAGAGAGACTCTAAGAAGCTACCTAAAACAGGCTTACTACCCTACGTTAAGAACAATAGCTAAAGGATAACCTCCTCGAAATTCGCCGCCTTTAGGAGGCCCTAATAACTAACACTAAGTCGATAGTAGGACCTTCCTTACTATTAGTCCTAGTCTAGAAGAAGGATGCTAAACTTAAGGACTGCACCGTATTTAATAGCTCTAGTCGAAAGCAATACAACGACTACATTCGTAACTATAAGCTTAACCAACGAAACGCACTAAGGGCTCTACTAAATAACTATTTACTAGTCGTCTATACTATATAGTACATTAACGGCGACCTAAAACGCACCTAGGATAACTATTTTAACTCCCTTAATAACTAGACTGCTATTTAGTAGCAGACCTATAAAACTATTATACTAGACACCCTTAGAAACCCTATACTAAGGCAACAATACGCTTAGGACTAGTACCTTCGAGCTAAACAAAAGACTAATTAATCGGCTCGCTTATTTAAGGCCTATTTAAAGACCCTCGAAGACGACCTCCCGACTAAAACTAATTCTATCTAGATCTCCGAAATACGCCCTAAATTGAGATAGGAATTGGTCCTTAAATTAGACCGCCGCCGTGTGTTTAAACAGGCCAATCTTATACGCATTTAATTTATAGTCGAAGTCGAAACTACTAAACGAGCTGTCTAGCTCTAGCAACGACTAGAATTAAGGATTCGACCTACTAGCAGCCGTAGCAACCGTAGCCGCGGAGGAAACTAAGGTTCCTACTAAGACAATAATGCTAACAATAGGAATAGTAATAACGACCGTAGAAGAAGCCGTAGCCGGCGGCTATATAGAGGAGGCCGTAATAGGGGCCGTAGAAGGGGCTCGTATCCCTATAGTACTAATCGCTCGGCTAATAACAGCGGTAATAGCTATAGCAATCCCCTAACCGGACTAAAGTGCTTCAATTGTAATAGCACTAGCTATCTACTAGGCTAATACGACAAACCTAAGGACTAGGCCCGAATCGACTGTACTGCCGCTAAGTACCGTAAGCACCTTTTAGCCGCTAATGCTACCCCTATAGGCTAACCTTCTTATTAGTCGAAAAAAGAATAAGCGCCGTACTAACTATTAGCCTTATACGGCGTAAGACTATCGACATTGTACTAGCTATAATACGTTCCTACCTTGTATAGGACACGAAGGGCACTACCTATTAAACTAAGGTTATACTAGATCTAGGAAATTCAGTTAGTGCCCTTATTAGCTATCGCCTAGCTAAGCAATTAGACCTTCGACAACTGCCTAGGACTAACCTACCAACCCTTGCTTAGTTTAATAACGCTCGGTACTTAACCTATAGGGCCTACTATATTCCTATAGTCCTAAAGGACGACCTCGGAAATAAACGCCTACTAGACTTCACTACCTACGTAGTAGATATAGACAACCTATATAGGGGAGCTACTATTGTTATTAGCAACCCTGTTCTTAAGTACTATACTATAGTTATAGACTTAGGCAGTTAACAATAGCGATTTAGAATCGCTAGGAAAGAGGATATTAAACATATCGACATTAGCGAGTGTCCTAATAATATTAGGGTCCTGTTTATTAGTAACCTGATACTAGCCTCCGCCTTAGCTAATCTAACTGCCGACCTACTCGGTAGTAATAACGATAAACCTGTGCCCCCTAATAGCATAGACCCTAAACAGCTTAAGCGTATACCGGAGCCTATTCGAGAGACCTACATTAATGTATTTAAATACTACCTAGCATCGACGTTGCCTATATTTAAGGAGACGGATTATAAGATTAATATTATAGAGGGTAAGGAGGTTCCTTTTGGCCCCCTCTACAACCTTAGTAAACGAGAGCTTGCTATATTGCGTAAGTATCTAGAGGAAAACCTAGCTAATAGCCGGATACGATATAGCAACAGCCCTACTAGTGCACCTATCCTGTTCGTGCTAAAGAAGGATAGTAGCCTACGCCTATATGTTAATTATCGTAGGCTTAACGCTGTTACTATTAAAGACCGCTATCTACTCCCGCTTATTAATAAGACCCTCGACCGCCTTTCTAGTGCCTACTACTATACTATATTAGACATTAAGGATGCGTACTATCGTATCCGCATTCGTAAGGGCGATAAATAGAAGATAGCCTTTCGTACTCGCTATAGCTATTTTAAGTACTTAGTTATACTATTTAGTCTAGCTAATGCCCCTACAACATTCTAGTCCTATATTAATCGGGCCCTTTCGGGCCTATTAGACTACCTCTATATAGTTTACCTAGATAACATCCTAGTTTATATACACTCCCCCGATATTGCGGAGTACTAGGCTATAGTCCGTAAGGTGCTCGATCGCTTACGAGCCTATAGCTTATATTGCAAGCCTTCTAAATGAACCTTTACTACTAAAGAGGTGTCATTCCTCGGCTTCCTCGTATTAACTAAGGGTGTTAAGGCTAATCCTAATCGAATTAAGACTATTACTAAATAGCTAATACCTACTAGTATTAAAGAGCTTCAATTATTCCTAGGTTTTACTAACTTCTACCGTCGATTTATCGAAGGTTACTCGCGGCACGTAATGCTACTAACTAAGCTTACTAAAACTAAGGCTAACCTAACTAGAGAGTTTAAATAGACTAACAGAGTACAAGCCGCTTTTAACGGTTTAAAGAAGCGCTTTACTAAAGTCCCCTTATTGTACTATTTTATACTAAGTAAACAGATCCGCATTAAGACTAACGCTTCACAGTTTGCTATATTAGCCATTATGTTACAACAGGCTAATAACAATTACTAGCACCCGATTGCCTTCTTCTCGAGGAAGATAATTAATGCTAAGCGTCGCTACGAGACCTACGAGTAAGAGCTCCTAGCTATTGTCGAGGCCTTTAAGTACTAGAGGCACTACCTCGATAGGGCTCAATATACAATATAGGTCTATATAGACTATAACAACCTCCGTAGTATTACTAAGGTTACTAGGGTTATAGGTCGACAGGCTAGATAGGCCGTCTACCTCGCCGGGTTTGATTTTAATATATTATACCGGCTAGGCGTAAGTAACCCTACCGATAGCCTATCGAGGCGACCTAATTACGATAGCGAGACCTAACATATTAATTCTTTGTTTCTAACCCTATAGCATAAGATTGCTATAGCCTGTGTTATTAATAAGTAAGCGTAGGATAAGCGGCTTACCGGACTCCGCGACGGCTTGAAGCATATTAATACTCTTACTATATTAATAGTACGTATTAAGGCAAGGGCTAAGGATATAGACAGGAGAAGTTATAATAACTCCCTAGTCGATATCGCAATATACAGTAACAGCGATTAAAGCACTAATATAGTTAATCCGGCTGCTAGTACTATTAGATGCATATAATGCGTACCTTGTTTAATAGCGAGGGTGCTGTTAAATAACCTTGCAAATAGGGATAGTTAATCGTTTATAGATAAGCTGTTACGGGCTTAGTAAAGGGACGCCTTTGCTGCTAAACGTATAGACAAGCTTGTAAGTAGACGAAAGACTCGATCTAGCAAGAGTAGTAATTAGTCGATCGATAACAAAGGTTATTTAAAGTTTAAGGGCAGATACTATGTCCCCGCTAAACATTCGATCCGATAAGAACTTCTTAAGCGACACTATAATAGTGAGCTTGCCGGTTACTATAGTATAGAGAGGTCGTACGAGCTACTATCGCGCATATACTACTAGCTAAATAGTAAGCGGGATATAAAGGAATACGTTAACACGTATGCCGTGTGCTAACGTATTAAGGCACTAAAGTATTAGCCTTTTAGCGAGTTGTCCTCTTTACTAATCCCTTACAAGCCATTTGTAGAGCTTATAATAGACTTTATTATAGGCCTTCCGCCTACTAAGCGTAGGAGCAGTAAGGACGTATATAATGCTATCCTTGTTATAGTAGATCGATTTACTAAAGGCGCTCGGTATATCCCGGCGCGCAAGGATTAGACTGCTATTAATATAGTAGAGGCGCTATAGACTAACATCTTCTATACCTATTAGGGAACCCCTAAGGGGATAGTCTCCGATAGAGGCTCGACATTTATATCGCACTATTAGAGCGAAATATGCCTATAGCTAAGACTAAAGCATCGGCTATTAACAGCCTTCTATCTATAGACTAACGGTTAAACAGAGAGGCAAAATGCTACCCTATAGCAATACCTACGCAGCTATATTAACGAGAATCCTAACGACTAGGTCAACCTCCTACAACTAGCTAAATTCGTATATAATAATAGTGCCTACTTATTAACTAAGGTGTTACTATACATAGCTATAATAGGCTAGAACGCTACGATGCTACAAGACCCCCTATCGCTCGAGGCCGAGCGTAAGGAAAGGGAAGCGCGTTAAGTACCAATACCTAAGACACTAGCAGCTATTAAGAGGATTCAAAAGATGCGAGAAATTTACGCTAAGATAGCTAACAAACTAGCAAAGGCCTAGGCCTATTAGAAGGCCTACTATAACAAACACTACCTTCTAATAACCTTTAAGCAAGGCGACCTAGTTATGCTAAGCACTAAGAACCTCCGTATCCGCAAACACCTATTACCTAATAGCAAAACAAGGCCTAAGCTCGTACTAAGATATATTAGCCTATTCCGCATTCGAGAAGCTAAGGGTATATAGGCTTACTAGTTGTAGCTTCTACCTTATTATACTATCTACGACACCTTCTATATATCCCTCCTTAAGCCGTACTACCTACGCGAAGGGGATAAAGTACCTACTAAATCCGAGGACATACTAGCCGATAGCGAAGAGCTATAGTCTATAGAACGTATCCTATAGCACCGGACTAG